AAATTAAAAGAAAGAAATAAAAAATAAAAAAGAAATTAAAAATAAAAATAAAAAATAAAGAAAAAAGAAAAAAAGAAAGAAAAAAAAGATAGAAAAGATCCCAAATTTTGTTTGGCCTCATTTTTTTCAATTAGTATACAATTCCATACAACGTGACTATTTGGAAATGTTGGACTAAATATGAGGACTTCACAAAACGTGCGTTTAGGAACGGCCCGCTCTGCCGTTCACATCCGCTGGGACGCGGACGGGCGCGAGGACGGCGCTGCGTTTCGCGGAACGGCGAGCCACGCCGCGTCGCGCCGCGTCACGGATTTCGCTTACGCAAGCGACGGGGGCGGCGGCGGCGGTGGCAGGCCAGTCACCGTGATTGCGCGCTCCGCCAGGCTAGGGCAGGGACAGGACAGGCCTTGCGGCGGGCGCGGGCGCGGGGCGTGTGGCCGCGGCCACCAGCTCAGCGCTTCTTCTCCCAGCGCCAATGCGGTGGCTCGCGGGGAACGGCGGCGACGCGGCGTCCAGTGGCGAAATGCTCCCTCTCCCAAAAGGCCTAGAGTTTTCGTTTGTTACCGTCTTTTATTTGACAAAATTTATTTAAATATTTATTTGCTAGAATGTCAATATTTAAAAATAATATCGGATCGTATTATATAATATATGTAATAGTGTATATTATACACTACAAAAATAATATGCATCACAATAACAAATGTTTATTACTGAACAAAAATCTATGATGGGCCTCTCCAAAACTATCGGTTGGATCCGCCCCTGGCCGGGTCCGCTATCGCCCGCATTGAGGCTGAGTGCTGGATCGGACTGTCATACTACTGGCCCGCAGCGACTTTTGGTAATGATTACGCCATTATGAATTTCGTATATGTGGCCTCTGTTTGGAGTGCCAACTAATCGATAACAAATTCCATGCGAAACAATTCTAATCAGTACTCTTTATACCTATTCAGTGATAATTGTATTATGCGTGGAGAACAGAATCCATTGTAATAAAAAACGCAAACATGTACATATACCGGAATGTCCTTTGTTCTGTGTAAGGAAAAATAGAAAATATGTAAATTAAAAACACATGCTGGAGTTTAAAATTACTCCACCACTGTTTACAAATTTTCGATTTCAAAATATCACCGTAGTCCTTAAATGGATTCAGAGCAACTGAACGGGTCTTCTACAGTAGGTTACTACTTTGCAGTAGTAAGTGAACACTAGTCTTCTTCAAAATACACGATTGATTGGTTCCAGGCGCGTCAACTGCTAAGGATCTCTCGGTGGAGTGCACAGTAATCTTCCCCCGTTAAAGGGTGTGATCCGGCGCTGACCTACCAGCCGCCTAGCGGGGTTTTCCCTCACCAGGTATCTCCCAGCAGCCGGGTCAAGCTCTAAGCTCCCCACCGGTGTCCCGGCATGTGAGGTAGTGAAGGGCGTGTGAGTGTGTGTGTATGTGCAAGAAAGGAGTAGGATAGGACAAGGACGAGGAAGGAAAATCAGCGCGCGGTCCGTGGCCCGTTTGTTAGGATACTGCTGCAGCTTTCGCCTGGTGGTAATCGGAGAAATTATGGAAATCTACCTATCAGAGCAGCCGGCCGTTAACATTCTCCTCCAGACAGCGACAGAATTCGACCTAGCAAACTAGTGTCGAAGAGCCTGTCACTGACGGGATTCGACCCTAGGATCTCTCGATCAGAGGCACTGCAGTGACATCAGTGGATGCCATGATCGACCTCTCGTTGTCCAAATTATACGACTTTAAAGAGACAAAATACAATAGAATACACAATAATGCCTAGAAGCACGTAATCTCGGAGGAGAAGGGGATAAAGGTTCCCTGCCCCTTCCACATCCAACTGTTTTCGTTGTCCTTGGCTCGAGAACCGATGGTGCCTTTTCGACACTAGCTGCTTTGTGGGATCGAATTCAACCTCTGGTCTTGAGAATTCTAGTAGCCGGTTGGTTTGATCGGTAGTTTTCCATGATTTCGCCTATCAAAACCAGGCTAATGCCGGAGCAAACTGTTCCATGCACCGCGCGCGTTCTTTGCGTTCTCACTCTTCCCTCCACTTACACACGCACACACTCCGGCACTACCACACTTGGAAGACCAGTCGGGAGTTTCGACTCTCCCTCTCTGGGAGGGCTCTCCACTGGGGGAAATACATCATGTCAACGAGTAAGTCGGCGCCGGTTCTCGCATACCACGGGACACCGCCCGCGCTATATATACTACACTTACGTGACGAATGATCTCGGTTGTTGTCGTGCCCGTGAACAATACATTCTCATCCAACAGTGTTCGCAATTGAACTCAATTTATTGAAAGCAATGCCAGAAATTGATAGTATCACATTTCAAAGTACAAGTCCCCATTGAGCTCGAGAATTTGATGAAAATTTTCCGAATTCTACGTTCCTGACACAGGGCTGTACATTTCCCGGCGAGGTGCAGAAAATGCTATAAGGCTTGCTAATGCTAAAATGCTATAACACGTTAGAAATATTTGTCAAGTTTCCATCCAATTACGCATGGCCTCTTCGAAACATGAGCAAGCATATAGCTGCGATTACTTCTGCTTTGCAAATATCCTGTCATCCTTGATTCTCAGCACGCAGTTTCCGAGATGCAGGAGGGTAAGTTCGACAAAGATCCGGAAGTAATAGCATTACTTTGTTTCACAGAAAGACGATTTAAGTAACATTTATTTGCAAACTTGAATCAAAAATATTTTGTTTCGACATGTCACTATATTAAAATGTAAAGAAATATATAGCAAATAGTAAAAATATTTAAAATAAAAATAGTTTTAATGGAATCAGAATGCGACTCAAACTCTAAAAAATTATTGAATACGGCTACCTTCCACAAAAATATGTATTTACATGAAAACCCATTTCTTAGTGATGGGAGACACAATGTTCCCTTCGATTTCTACTTTCGGAAGAGAAACTTGTTCATGTTCTGGTAATATGAAAATGTGCGCCTTTTGAAAAGTTGGGTTAATATTGATGGAATTGTTTCCTGAAAATTTTATTCTTAATTTTAATTATAATTGGCAGGCTTCTCTATTAAATAAACTAATGTTTGTAATCCATGAATTTCTGAAGTCACATCTTTAAGATGAATAAACACATACGTCACACAAAGTTCAATGTACGAAAGTCGTGAAAAGTTAGGATTCTAAGAAAACAAATTGCCGAAAATTAAGAGGAAAATCGTACTAAAGAAAATTAGCAAAGAACAATACTAAAATATTAAATTGTTTTTCTAAATCGAGAACTGTTGAGAAAGGATCAAAAATATCTTAATGATCATTTTAGGCCGTTCATTTTCAAATCTGGGTTAAAGTTAGCAAAGCCTTTGATGCATCAGTTTCAGGATGATACGCCTCAAAATCTTCCCTGTTCGGGAACGAAATAAATTACACTTGCCTTACTGCGTTTTATACATAGTATATGTGAAAAGATAAAGATATCTTGTTGATTAAGAAATGTTGAATCCATTATTTTATCATTTTATATACTTCAGAAATATGACGCACCATTTATTCATTGATTGTATCAATTCAGCGTTGATTCAATTATTTTTCTGGAGGAGAGTATGGAATGCGCAAATAGACCAGATATTAATAATTATTAGATAATACATAACCATTTCCCATTAAAAGACGAAAAATTAAAAATCGACACACTAAACCAAATGCTTACAAATGTTAAAATTAATTACCAGAAAATAATCACGTATCTAAATTTGTAAATAGACGTTAAACAAATAGCGAGGATGGTTAGGTGAATCTTGACTACTTAATATTAGATAGGTTAATCCATAACATAGAACTAGAGTCAAAACGTTATACACGGGATATAACCGCTAAAACCGCTATAGGTGCCGACTGAATCCCAAACACTCGCGTTAACTGAATCTCCTTCCGTTTTTTTGCATTGCATATGACGACGCATCTCTTCCAACGACACCTTTTGCACCGATTGAGCACGGAATTACATTGATTATAACGACCATTGTTGATAGAAAGCGCTATCGCTTCTGTGCTCACTTATCTGTAATCTCTTATCTCATACGTACGAACAATTTGTTACGACTGCTCTTACAGAGTAAGAAGCTCCACCAAAGCAGAGTACTGCTGCCCCCTCAGAAACAGTCGTGTGGTAGTTATTCCAATCTAGAGTGGCTGTTTACGAGTCTCGATTCGCAACAGAAATGAAACTATAGGTAGAAAAGGAAAGTTTTACAACTGAAGAAACGTTTCATACAATATGTAGATTATAAAATGGAGAAACGAATATGGCGAAAGAAATGAGTGTGTCACAATGGACAATTTCAACAATACGAAAGGGAGGCAATTATTTTCGAATAATCCTTATTTTCTAAAATTATTTTAATTTCTGTGTGTGCAAAAGTTGCAATACATGATTAAACATCCGTAACCGTTACTATGTTTTAATGACCAAAATGCTTGACCCTTTTAGGATTGGTATAACCGATTTTGACTGCAGTTTAAACAACCACAATATTGGGAAATTATTATTATTGTTACCAAATCTCGAGCGATACATGCGGTACAGTCCTCCAAGGTACGTAACGAAGGTACGTAACGTAATCCAAGGTACGTAACGAAGAGGAACTCTTGTAAACATTGTCCAAAAAAATACCACAGCTAATTCATTCGTAACGCATTCGAAGCAATTAAAGAGCTCTATTTTTCGTAAATTTCAGATGACACTCCAAATATCTTAAGTACCTGAGATGACAATGGTGTAGCTTCAACTATTATTAAATCTAGTTTTCAGGCATTTGTTTCCTACGAGGCGATTTGAATGATTTTAGTCATTAAATTCAATTAATAAGACAATGGACGAAAATATAAATTTTAAGCATTCCTTTCTCCCTCCATCCATTTTCACATATTATCACATTTATTCTCTTCAAGCAACATTTGAAATACTGTAGTATTTACTTCACGAATATTATAACTACTATAGTTTGTCTTCAGCTAATAAGCTCACTGAATTAGCTGCTGACAATAAAATATAAATAATAAATTCCTATAGATTCACGTAGTTAAATACAAAGAAACTTATTTACTAAAAGAACATTTAAAGGATATTCTCAAATTTCGTTGTAAGATGTTACTCTGACATTGCAATCCAAGGAAAAGTTCCAACCACCTAGAACACGATTTCAGCAAGAGTAATATACAATATTACCTCGGTCAATATGAAAATGGCGAAATTCAAATGTAATTATACACATAATGATCCTACGTTACTAAAATAAAGGGAAAAAACTTACTCTAGAAGTCAGAAAATATACTGCTTTGCAGAAATTTCTATTTTGATGGCAATTTTGATCAATTGTTCATATTATACATGAACCATTATTGTAAAAATATGTAGCGTCACTTCTGGCGTGAAGATAATGTCTCTTGACTATTGCTTTTCAAAAGAACGTTGAGAAAAGTCAAGACGTCAAGTGAATAGCATGCGAAGTTTTTACTAACAATGTTGCAATATTTCAACATACACACCTTACGCAAGTGTGTGCATTGAGTTGTAAAGTTAGATTTAAGTTGGTTGTAAAGAGTAGCTATGAATGAGGATTTCTGCATTACTTCTCATAAAATACATGAACATGCAAATAAAATACATGAACAGTTTTTCCAACATATACGATGTAAGTACACAAAGGCTACGAAAAAACAAATTGTTATTCACTTCTGATGGTTTTTTTACAATTCACGAGAAACAATGTCTAACTTTTCAATTACAATTCCAATTTCAATTCCAATTTCAATTCCAATACAACTACTTAAAAAGTCTGCGAAAAAATATGAACATTAAAAAGCTAGTATCAGAAAACTTTTATCTTAAAAATATCGCAACAACAGAATACCTAAGAAAATGACATTGTTACATTGTGGAATGCAGATTTTGCATTGTGCGATGTTTCAAATGAGCACAAAGGGCATAAAATCGATATGTCAACAATCTCTGACTGCTCTCCCGGGTTGGCAAGCAAGAGGAAGAGTCTGCAAGCAACGTACACGCCGCCCCCACCACCACAGCTGTCTGGAGGCCACGGCGAAGGACAAGTATACGCAATCCTTGCAGACTGCAGGTTCAACTGCTGCAATAACAGTGAGGACGACGACGACGACGACGACGACAACGTCGTTGTCTTTGCTTGTCTGTAAGTATACTCATTAACTAGACGAACACAGCTCTACGTAAAATACACCATAGATCAGAGATGAGACTTTGTAAAATGACCCCCCAGGGTAAACCTTTCCTAGCCATCACTCCTAACATAATTCACTGCGGTAATCGCATTTGGTTCATATGAATGAACCAGAACAATATTAGTGACATTTTACAAATTCTGAGAAATATGTTTATTTAAGTCAATATCACTCTAAAGTCGTAGTTCTTTGTTTCATCATTAAAACCACGAATATACATTGCCACTGAAATATAGCCTAAAATGAACACGTTTTTCTCAAAATTTATAAAATGTCACTCATACCGTTCTGGTTCTCACGCATTCATATTTTACAATTCGAAAGGACATCTATGACAATTACAAGTTATGCACAACACGTCTCTAGTATAATACAATAAGAATTGCTTTGTATGTCATAGCATTCCACACAATCTGTCGAAAGAGTGGAAAAAGACAAAGAGATTATATATTATTCCAATAAATTAAAAATGCATCGAATAAAAACTTTAAAAATCCTGAAAAAATTAAATGAAATTTAATGTATAGCGAATAAAGTAAATCGGTCGTTTGCTTGCTTTTGTCAATGCAAGTGGTCAATAATCAAATAATAAACATGCCCTACAAAGTTCGAAAGTATGCATGCAAACATATGCTATCAGATAATCAAACTTGCACAACTGAGGGTAAAAATTAATTAAATGATCATTTCCAAAGAATTGTATAAAATGTATCCTTGTTTTATTACCTTTTGTGGCAAAATGAAAAAATTCCTTGAGTGAATATTATTTCCAAATGCATTCTGCTTTCAAATGCATGCAAACAAACTGCATTCTTTGACCCAAAGCGTAATATGAGCAGACTTAACGGACGAAATTCTTCATTCTACCATTTCGACCTCAAAATCCAAAAATTATACCAGCGTGAAATGTCTTTCCTGCAAACGTCTTTCCCTTCTAGTTGGGTGAAATGTGAATGAAATGCCATGGGAATTACTTTCATTTCTCGGAGTGCAAGGGAACGGAGCAATGTCCGAGCACTTACTAGGCGCTACCATTTCCAGATCCAGCTTATCCATTTATCTGTCAGTGTTCGGATGGACGTTACAATTCACTAAACATTTAAAATATGGGAATATTTGTTGTTGAAATCTTAGTATAAAATAGTTCAGTATGCTACTATGTTAAAAAATACATCAGCCTTTATTTGATCATAAAAATGTAATATGCTTTGTCATTCCATATAATCCATGCGAGAAGGTAGATTTATTTTTTCATTTATAGATCCAGAAATTCATTCATGTTTCTTGCGTAAATGAATTCACATGTGTTATTAGTTACATCAATTTATTAATTCATTAAAATTCTCAAAACACCAATGAAATGAAAATTTAACAGATGGACTCCGGAACTACCCCCTGTAACAAACGCAACCAAATAATATCGGTATTGCTAGGATGAAGTTACAAATAAATCAGTACACGCAATTGCCAGCCGTAACACACGTTACGCTGTTTCATCGCGCACTATTCGGAAACGGTGCGTTCGAGGTCCGCTTTCCAGCAGAGCTGCCGAACGTTTTGGCAATTATAATTAACATTTTTTCGGCATTTTCTCGTGAAAATGTAACCAGTTTTGGAGTTTTGATATTCAACACGATAACCGAATGTATAAGGCAGATCTGTCATAATAACTTTTTTCAATCACATTCACTAATTTTGGCAAAATTGCAACACATTCAAATTACCGGGAACAAAATTTTACGCAATTATTCACATGTGGGAATGGTACACGTAACCTTCCCATAGTTGGATTGTTTCCTTGGCGAGAATATAGTTGGAGGTGTGAAGCAGGGTGCGTGAAGGCCGGCGCATCATGGCAATGAAACAGCGTCTTAGCGACCATGATTCAGTCACGTGTTATGTAGTGAATGGGCTGAATGCAGAAATTGTAAATTATATAGAGTATGGAAGTTGGGCGAATAAAAATAAAAAAAAGTTCACAAAAAAATAAGCATCAACTAACAAGCTTTAGGAACTTTTTAAGAGTTCTTTCATGTATGCACCAAGGAAGTCATGAGTTCTAATATTCGAAGGTGACAAAAAGACGGAGGGCCTTTGGCTAGCAGGTTTTTTGTCGCCCGAGATTAGTTAGAGCTAGTTAACGCCCGTGGTACGTACACGATTTTTTACCTAATAATTTTCATTCAGATTTACTTATTTAGTTGGTAACTAGATGTTAACTTGACTTGGTTTGTCTTTTCATACTTCCCTCTACAAGAGTACATGTACTATCATTCAACTATTTTTATATTTCCTTCAACCTCTCAATCCAGATAAATTATGCAATGTATAACGGGTTCCGTTCCCAATAACGAGCAATAACATATTAGTAAAAAAATTCAATAAATCAAAGTGCTTTCAGTAATAAATTTAAGCTAGCTTTAAAAGTTTTTAAGCTGCCAGAGAAGTTTTAGTCAGAGTAGGGGTACTCAAGGTATACGTCTTCCCATTAATTACTGAATCCAACACAAGGTTATACACCTTAAAAAAACTAATACTTCCCTGCACAGGATTTCTGTGGAGAGGCACGACAAAAACGAGCACACATCGTGTGCAAAGCGGAAAAGACGACCCGGGAGCAGGAAGTTCGCCTCGGGAGCATTGCCAAGGCCCGGTGTGCCACCCTACGTTACACAACATTTATGCAATCTGGTTGGTTATCCTTAATTAACATGGACACGATTTTACGAAAAATATGCTCTTCCTAATAGGGATTCGAACGGGTCAGTCCATTTTAAGTGGTCCAGAATTAAATAAATTGGTCGCTCGATCATCTCGAAAAACAAAAATTCATATTTGTACATAAATTTCCTTATGCTTTGACTGTTCAAAAAAGTCTTTAATTTTTGTATTGTACTTGGCTTATAAATGGCGTCTATTTTTGTTTTACGGCATGCACCATTTTTCGCGTTTGTAAACACTCTTTTCTAAATTACTAATATACACTTATGTCAAAAACACTTCAATTCCACATTGAAAATATGTTGTGTCGATCATACACGTAGAGAAATATTTGATTCATACAATTAATCATGTAGAAGATTCAACTAAACAGTATGGTACAAAGTGCTTATTCACGTGCACGTTCACGAAACAGCTGTTCAGTTAAACACACTAATGTACATATAGTAATGTTCACTAAACAGGTCGTACCAGTGACGAACGGCATCTTGTGAAGATAACTAAACGAATCGTTGTGTTGAATAATACATTGAGTAATATTTACTTAACTCGTTGCAGTGAAAATAACTAAACGAAACGTGAAACGGAATACTTTCTTTCAATTCCTTCAGGCAGGTAGCAACTGGGGTTCCGGAGCGCACAGCCATCCTATTGCCCCCTGGACTCAACCGCGATTACCTGACAGACCCTAGCCAAGCAGTACAGTTACGAAGGCAGGCTGCCAACATTTGGCAACCGACGGTATTTCTAGTATTAGTTTAGAGTACAAGATGCTAATTATTTAAAATCAATAAAACACGCCATTTATTTAGATACATAATTCTATAGAGAGCGTTGAATTCTCATAACCTTTCGAATAGGTCAGATGGCTAAAAACGCGCGCTTACTAAACATGAACCATAGATCTCACCAAATGATATAATCTACGAAACAAGTATGAAAATTCTCTTTTTCATTCTATTACGATTTTGAATTGTCTGATTTACTAATCGAAGCTAAATTATGTTTATTGAATCTTACTACAGGAACAATTGTATTTATTACATGATCGCTTACTGAACATGTTTAGTACATTTTACTACATTTTTCTCAGTGTATTATTTTGAAGTAAAATCTACAGCAATTTAAAATAATTAATTATTCTTTATTATTAATAAAAATAAAAGTGGCCTAATAATAATTTTCAATATTACGTATACGTCACTTTAAAACAAACTTACAACTTGACATCTACTTTTGTTATTGAAAATATGGTCACCAAAATTGTTTATAAAACACAACAAATAAACTCAATGTTTTTTTTCTGTTTAAATTAGCCATTCTGCGTATTATTTCTGATCGTTTCTGCAGAGATTCTCCTTAGCAGTGCACAGTTCTCCTTAGATGCTATGATTGCGACTGAATTTTAGAATACGATGTTTGACACAATGATTTTCGCGGTATAATAATTAGTTTTCTCGTACCTTTTTGCCTAGCATTGAATAACAGATTCAAGAGCGCATCAATGTGTAATAGTTTGGCTGCGCTCCACCAGAGAATGACGAAGGAGATCTGCGATTGAGTTCATTAAGACACAGAATTGCGAACCTGTTGAAATAGTGAGGACTATTTGTGGATTGTACCGTCAATGGTTTAATTCTAAATGTTCATATTTAAGAATGTTTCTGATTGTTTTTCTTCATTTTCATAAACAGGGTGAAGCTTTGGAGGAGCGAAAGTAAACTATTGTACTTTGATGTACTCTTGAATCTGTGATGTAATGGTAGGTGAAAAAGGTCCAGAAAAGTTATTATATTGCGAATATATTAAGGTTTATGGTTATAAATCACCGGCTTCAATACACCTGAACTTCAAAGGAAGGTAGCACAAAAGTTTCATCGATATTGACGCAGTACGTTTACAGATTATCGCGCTGAAACGCAACGTCCATGTAACTTGGTATATTAGTACAGATATAGATGTACATTCTATTCTAGCTCCCACCCGCTCTTCTAGCCCCACTCTACAACCCGTCTCCAGCTCTCACATGCTCTTCTAGCCCCACTCTACAACCGCGACTCTAGCTCCCACATGCTCTTCTAGCCCCCACTTCAGAAACGCGACTAGCCCCACCCGCGGGGCCTTTCTTTAGATAACCCAACACGTTAGGCTCTTACTCTCTCCTTTTCTCTACGATTGCAAAGCGCCGCTTCCGCAATGGCGGTGCAGCGAGTGCCCGTCGCGGCCGCGGCCAGTTGGGGCGTCGCGCCGCCAACGGGGAGGCGCCATTCGCGCGGCGTCGCGACGCCCCTCACGCGCCCTATCGCCTCCATCGCCGCTTTCTCCGCCAGAGCACGAGGGTGTCCGTCCGCGCACGCTCCAGTGGTTGGCTTCCCCTAGTAGGCTTTGCATGAAGAGCAGGAGCACGTGATATAACTCTACTACTCGAGCGTTACACTATGTGCTCCTAAGGGCAAGGTCCATGACGAAAGTTATTCGTGAGCGACTGTGAGAGTGTCCAGACATAATGCGCGATTCCCTAATAGACGTGTAACCGGCGTTTCTAATCTCTTACAGACTGCGAAAATACAAGACTTTCCTTATAGGGTTCAGTTGACTATTCTTTAGCTCACCATAATTATCATGAGGATGCTTTTAGCAATAGAATTGTTCAATGTAAAATTCACAAGCGTTTTTTTTTACCCTGTCCCGTAGAACATAAACGTGCCTGGTCTATTGCAGCCATTCATAAATGGATTGTCTACGTCTATTAGCAAATTAATTTGTTTGCCGGACCATACACGTCTGAAATTTTTTTTGCACCTTAAATTGAAACTATGAGTATATTCTATTGGCCTGCTTTTCTGGAAAGATAATCTTTTCCCAAGAGTATATTGTAATGACGCAGCGAGAAAGACCTTCTGGCATTGCTAACTAACACTAAGATGAGTTTTTATTAATTAACTAGCGAAATTGTTCTTATTATAGATGTGAGATTTTTCTCTACATTCACACACATACTTGTTTCATTATATACATAGGCAGTCATTCATTATATTCATTCGCATTTCACTGCACTACAAAACACTGAGAAAGACCTCTGGCATCTGAATTTCATTCCATCCAGATGAATCTGTTTTCTTCCCAATATTTCATATCTTCTTACCCGATTGAAATTACGATGCGTTTCGTAATTTGTAATAATGAGAGATTTAGCTTACTAACGGTATACATTAATTTTTTGCAATTCCTGACGCGCGCAACTTCTAAGGATGCAACTTGGCACTGGCTCCAGAGACGACCTCCCATTCTCAGTTTCCTTCGGCCAGGATCCGTGGCACGGGAGTTCTTCTATGCCAGAGGCAGTTCGTCGGAATGCGCGCTCGCGTGCCGCAGCTCTCCTTGTATTAAATGGTGTAACGCCAAATGATTCCTAAGAATTTATTTAAACAACTTCGGTCAGTGCAGACAGGTTTTTATTGCTCAAAATAACGATAAAATTACCCCCTTCCACGCTTCCTTGACTTTCGGACGGGCAGAACGCGGTGGAATTGCGCAAGAGGAGCTGCGAATGAAGAATTTTATTCGGATATTTTTTATCAATTTCCTGCCCACCAGCATACTGTTGAGGTTGGAAGGTGCACGCACACTCGTAACACTTCTTCGGTTTGGCGGTACAAGGGAAGGATACATTATTTAACAATATGCTTTTCTTAAAACTAGATTATGGCTAAAATGGATACAGCTACATATTATACCAGAACGACGCTTAGGTTACTTGTTTTAAATTATTGTTTTTTACATTACATACAAATTTATGTTGATTTTCACTAACACAGAGTATATTCATGTGTTTATTCTGCGATATACACTATTTCCTCCATGTGCACGTGCTCCCTCCTCCTCCTTACTAGCACATGAAGCAGTCACGTCATGATTAACGCAATTTTTGACCACATGCGAAGTGCAAGGGAAGAGTGTGCCGGCGAGGCGGCCTGGAGCGGTGCAAGGGCGAGGGATTAGAACCGGTCCCGCACGAAAGGCATTCCGAGAACGGTACGCGCCGCACCCTTCACGGCAGCTTTGCGGGGGACAGTTGTTACTAATTTTAGAGACGGGCGTTCCTGGAGACACCTAGGCCTGCTGAACGAGGAAGCGAAAAATGAAAGGCAGGGGGTCAGTAACAAGTATTTCGAGTTGGAACGATAGAACGACGAAATGCTTCAACGCATATTTGGCTCGCCGCCCGGAGCAACAGAGTTTTAATTGAAAAGGTTTTGGTGGAGGCTCCCAAAGTTATCTAGAAGTTTTGTTTGTAGGGAAAACTTTTGTCTGTAGGAATATTTCTAAAATTATATGATATACCTCTTATTATTGTATATTATCTCATATTACAAAATAAATCTCTTATTTGTATTTACTACTTTAAGAACATTCATGAAATAAGACTGGTCGTGTGATCTATATTAACCCACAAGGAAGTTAATACATAATACAGCCCAAAGCAAGTAAACATGTTACGAAGTCCAAAACGCACTTCCAATTCACACATGATGTAATTCTTAGAAGAAAGTATCCGCCATTTCCCAATCGTTGACAGCATAACATTATCTCCTGCATTGGTAATAAATGGACTTTCATCGCGATCACTAAAGGTTATCGGACACCAGCTTTTGATGAATGATGAAATTCCTTTGTCTTCAAATACCTAGATTCAAATTTTTATGCTCTAAAGGCGCCTAAAATAGATATTAAAATGTGAAATGTGTGTTATAATTTCTTTAAAAGACAATTTTAACTGAGATGAAAATACATTTTTATAATATTGTATATTCAAAATGTTTATTGCTTTTATTAGTACACAGTATTAAAAGGAGAAAAAATGAAGGAGTAAATGCTTAAAAAAAGAAAAAAGAAAAAAAAAAGAGATTCCAATCAATGAACTCTAAAATCTTTGAATATTTAAATACTAAATAGCACAGACACCGATCTCGTCAGATACAATTTAACTTCTACTGCAGTGCAAAAATAAGGTCTTCGTGGCCAAAGTTGTAATGAACACACGCGCTTTTTTGCTTTCAATTATTATAAGAAATACCTTGCGGCATTGTACAAGCAGATGAAACGATGAATTGTTGACTATCCACGCACGTACTTTTGGCTTCTCTAATTACACTCTGCTAGTTCTAAACACACTGACAGACCACCACTTGCGATCCGGCTTTTAGTTCGCCCTCCTCGATTCCTTATCACATCTTCCCGAAAGGAAGTGAATACGCATAGTTCCTTCACACGTGATCGCGATGCGATATCGCACCTTATAAGATAACGAAGAGGTATCAACTTCAAACAAAGTTCTCATCTCTTATCAATCAAAAACCTTTCCCAGCAGGGACTCTACTACTAGATGGGCTTTAGTCATCTTTTTCAGTGTAGCCGAGAAGTAATCGAAGCTATAAGTGTTAAAAGTACACTTTAACTATATCGCTTCGATATCTACCCACAGAAATACGACGACAATCTGCCAACCGATCTTTTCAACACGAATTGGTGGCTGTGACGTAACAAGTTCAAATTCAAATTCAAAACCTTCAGTTATCGCCATCAAAAGACCATATTCGTACAAACATTACATTCGCCTTCACATTAGGAAGGTCCTTGAGTAAAGGTTAATTGAAACAAAATTATTTGAAATTAGTGGTTGTAATTATGAATTTTGTATTAACTGACGTATAGGCGAGGTCAAGAAAGAAAACTTGCTTGTTAATTATTTCCCAAATGTAGAAGAAATAATTACCGTTTTGATTCGCGAGTACAGGGCGTGTCTCTCGAAATAGCGAAAGAAAACTACCATCTGGAGATTATATTCGCATATTTATTTTCACACATATTGGTAAACTCTTCAAATAATGGTAGTCATACCAAGTGAGGAAAAGCGCGAGATCACGTACTTTGCAGTTTAAATACCATCCTTTTCATACATAATATATACAGTCGCACCAAAAGGCTGCTTGCTACTTGAACAAGCAAAAGATAAGCATATGAGAATCAAAGTTTGACGATATTCCACACTCCTTCCTTTCTACATTTTTATACGCATTTCTACTAGCTCTTATGATTGGTTCCAATCATAAAATTATGAATAGGCCAAAATATGAAGCTAAATTTCAAACTACACTACGCATTTTAATACGCTTCACTTTAAATCAATAGTCAAATATCCTCTTTGCTAAGGTACTTGTAACATTATTGTAATAAGTATTTTTAAGTTTCACATTTATGTATAAAACACATACATGAATAACGAAAGTTATTTGTTAAAAAGTCAACAAAACATTTGAATTTGATTATCTTGATAATCAAAATACTTGGTTTTCAATTTAAAAAATGTTGATCTCGTGAAAGCTAGTTTTCTCAAGCATAATATCTTTTCTCCTGAGTTGTTTTTTATTCGGAAATCTTTTTGCCATGAAATTACAAGAATGTCAACAAATCAGAACGCAAATGGCTTAAAAAACAAAAATTTTATATTATGATTATAGCAAAGATGGTATATGCATACAAGAGAAAGATTTCGTATCAAGTGTAAGAGGAAATTTTTCACACGAAGTTAAATTGAATTCGAATTTTTGTTCACTAAAATTGTTTCAAGTATTGTCTGTTTTTGAGGAGTTAACTTTCGTCAGTGAAATGTGATGACCTTCAAATGATCGGCTCAAGAAGTCCATATTCTTTAATAGAATTTTAATATACTTTGTTCACGTGATTCATACATACATTACGCGTGTTCTCTCGTAATTTACGCACCAGAAATAACATTATGAATTTTTCCCACAAGAGACGAACACTGATTTGAATGGATGAAGGTTGATTTTTTTTTATTTATTCACTCCTACTTTTCTCAATTCTATAAATTAAGACATGCTGCCTAAATATTAAATATAATACATTAGTTACATATGAAGAAATGTTTGAAATTTTATTAATTAATAATCTATAGTTAATAATAATTTATCAATTAATTTACTGTCGTCTTTTATATTTGTCTTCATGTTTCTTCAAAACGTACTGAAATATCAGGATCTGAACTGTTAACGGTACGTTTTTTACCAACCTCGTAAACCATTTGGAATCCAAGTCGCCTATTTTCCTACACCAAACTACGAAAACATCATGAGGTACACTCCACTTACAAAATAATAGCGCACAAGGGCACGAGAATGTCATTCATTTTCATTTGTTATACTTATCCGTTCTTAGAGATAGTCATTCTATTCCTTCTGTTACAAGAAGTTTAAATCAGAGATGTGTGTAGACAGATTTGAGTTTCGGTTTCAGTCAACGGACTACAACTATCGTGAAAAACTGTCCATCCGGGGGGCTCCAACATTTTTATTACGAGGAGGTTCGGTCTGGGATGAAACCCCTGAATCTAGGATTCCCCATAGCTTCATTTCGATCCCAACGTTTCAATTCTGCAGAAAAATGGTGCCACGTGCAAATTTTTGTTTTGGTCCGTCGACAACGTACAATTTCTCTGCAGATCCGAAATGTTCGGATCGAAATTAAGTTTGTAGAGGAATTCAAGGACCAGGTATTTCCTGCTCTAGCAAATCGCTCAAAGGAAGCGACGTGTACCATTTCTCACGGTGATGAAGGCGATATAAACGGCAAAACCACCGGAAAACCTACCACGCACCTTTTTTGCCTAACTCATAATACTCGAAGATGCTGGTATACTTGTGAAGGTAACGTATGAAGGTAGTATTCTTGAGATCAGTAGATACTGGTTTGGCAACCACAAACCGCACACGAAGTGACCAAAATTCGAACTCTGGTATCCAGAGGTGAAAAATTAACGGCCAGATCACTACACCACACGTCGCCCCTTTCAAGCTAGCAAATGCATTCAACAATTAAAAAAAAACGTTTCCAAAATACAAAAAAGAAAGAAAATTTCTTAAAAAGTCAAAATAAATAATTCATTAGCAGAGGCTCTGTGGCACATGCGAAGGCGGGTCGCTGGCCCGGCGGGGCGGGGCGGGGCGGTGTTGCACGTAGGCGTTCAGCTGTCACGTAGCCCTGCGCTCACAAAGAAACGTGCATGTCACCTGCGCGCTTCCCACGCGGTTACGCCATGTCCCCGCGCGCCGACATCCGCCGCGCCGCCAACGTGGCGCTCGCGACCGCGTGACGCCGACCTGACCCACCTCCCCTCCCCCCTCCACCCCACCCCGGCGCCCCACGCGCCCGAGGGAAGGCAGCCAGGACAGTTCGCGATTAATGCGAAACCGGAATCCTAAGGTAATATGCTCATTAGATCGACCACGGTGAAGCGCCCCCAAAAAGTACTTTAAATGAAAGCAAACTATAGGTTCTTCAAGATGGTAAAAATAAAATGGGCACATACCGGCCAAATTGTTAATAACATACGTTTAAATTAGTACAGGCTCTTATAGAAAAAGTTTCGCTTGCCAATGTTTTTTTGCAATATTGAAGAAATTATACGGTGAAAGTACTTTTTTCTTTTATTCAATATGTAGTAAATATTTAGGACTTTTTTATTATCTGATTACATGATATTAAATTTAACATACCTCACATTCTGAGAAGTAATTGAAACCAAACTGCTGCAAAAAAGTTCATCGCAACCGGAAGTATTGGCTCTCGGCCTCGGAGTTATGTGTACAGATCATGCTATTGTCACTACTGTTTCAATTGGGGTTCAAGATAAAACCACCCTTACTTAAAAAGTTTGTACTACACATAACCACAAACAATTTGCCGATAATTCACTTTCATTGTAAACAATGTGAACTAATATTCAACACAGAAAGAAAGAAAAGAAATAAAATAAAAGAAAGTAAAAATTATGGGCGTTGAAATCAACTTAACATACATAAGGTATTACCAACTTGTGAAAATAAAAAAAATCATGAGAGACTAAATTTATTAGTTAACCTTGTTTTTCTAGAGCAACTATTCAATAGTTTTCTTTTAACTATTACAAATAATTATTTTAACGCTCTGTTCACATTTACAAGCAGGTATTGTTAATCTGTAAGTTATAAATGTACGTGTTCGACTAGCACGAACATCCCACCTTCAAGGAGGCTCCAAACCATTTCGCAGCGAACTTCTCCTCGCCCAACCCCGAACTTTTGATGTGTTCGGCGAATGTTAGCTTCCTTTGACATATCCAAAACACCGACACGCGGTGGGTAGGGCGACCACTTAATGCCCTTGCTTAAGGCGAAGGGCTGCTCACTTACCACACAGAGACATCATTTTATCACAAGTGGAATTAGTTGAACACAAAGGTGACATGCGGCACGACTTTTCAAAGTCCTCCATATTCCAGGTCAAGCCTATTTTCATTAAAATCATCATCATATATTTATAATTTATTTAGTAAATCCCAAATAGAGATAGAGGAAGAAACAAACGGGCTAACTGCCGGCACAGCGGCAGAGATCGCCAAGGCCCGAGTGGAACAGTAAGCTCGGTTCAGTGGGTCCCGGACTCGAGTAGGCACGATTTTGTCTCACTATTGTCGCTAGGTTCCACCCGTCATGAGTACCTTTCCTATATTATCTCTTCGCTTAGCCCATTTGAGTGGCGTAGGTCGTAAAAGGTAGTGACAGAGATGGTCTTAAAGGCGGCTCCGCACATTCTGTACTCAGCGAGTAACGAGCGACTGCTTGCCGCATCCCGAATAGTGTGGATGGGTTGTTTGCTACATGCATTCAATGCTCGCTCTACTGACGACGTGTTGGCCTTTTGCACACATCAAAAGGAAGCCAACATTCGCCGAGCGCATCAGCTGCTCGCTTCTTGGCGAATACCGAATGTGTGAAACGGCAACCCTTCGCCAAATGTGAGCGAGCAACCGCTCGCCAAATAACAAGTAGTGTGGTTGAGTTGCTTGCTTCGTATTTGCGGAGTGACGAACTTTACGTGCTCGCCCTACCCGCCGCGTGTCGGTCTTTTGGACACGTCAAAGGAAGCTAACATTCGCCGAACACATCAAAAGTTCGGGGTTGGGCGAGGAGGAAGTTCGCTGCCGAATGTTTGGAGCCGCCTTGAAGGTGGGATGTTCGGCAGTCGCTAGTCGAACAGTTGACATTTATTACACTTACAGATTAACAATACCTGCTTGTAAATGTGAACAGAGCGTTAAAATTATTTGTAAATAGTTAAAAGAAAACTATTGAATAGTTGCTCTAGAAAAATGTTAACTAATATTACAATAGAAGAGCAAAGACATCTAATAGGCTTCTCAGGAATTCTGTGGTGAACATTTGTTGCACATCGTAAATATTGTTTGAAGCAAGTATCATTAAAATGCTATTAAAATCGACTGAATCAGAAATAAAATAAATTAATAATGACATAAAAAGGTAAAAAAATGACTCATTAGTCAAAATTGACAAAAAAAATGCAACAAAGAAGACATAAAAATTTGTCATTTCATTTTGTCACATCATAAAATGAATTCCTATAGTAAATAGCATTGTCCTAAAGTGAAAAGAAAAAAATCCCGCTTCATTAAAATCCACCCCCTAATTATAACTGTGCACTTTAAATTGCTGTCACCCATAGGTGGTCACCCCAAGACCTGGTTGCCGCAACCCGCGTTACATTTGTGTGTTATTCACCCATGATGCAGCGACCCCTGAAATTATCAAATGACAACTAGTTGGTAAACTAGAGATTAAAAAGGAAAGGTGTTTCGACGACGACAACGCCGCAGAAGGACTGTGGATAAGATAGAAATTACGTAAAAGATATTATGGTTTATCCAACACTGTGTTTTCTGTATTTACTTAACGAATTATGTATTTTACACAATATTTCCTGATTATGAAGCCCCGGTAGAACGGGGACACGGTAAAGAATATTTGATACGAAAAACAAGAATGTTTGTGCATGCACCGCGTTTACCATCGAGTTTCATACTACATCGGATGTCGAAATATTGTTTCTTGCGAATTAAAAAAAAAAAAAAAACAAAAAAAAAAAAAAAAAAAAAAAAAAAAAAAAAAAAAAAAAAAGAAAAAAAAAAAGCAGAAAATGTTGACTGCAGTGCGTCATAATCGGAGATTTTGTTGGGAGTAACCCATTTGGGAACTTCACGCGTAACACCTTTCGGTCTAAAACAATACAAAAGCTGTGCTGCTTTGTTTGCAACAAAAAGCCTGCTTAAAAAATGATAGTTATGGTCGTATTAGTGGTAGGTCATTTCGCCGTGGCAGCAACAACCCAAACTAATGTCAAAAGCATATTTCGCCATTCTCTTGTAACCGGAAGAGATAATGTGAAGAGGCATCCTCGAACAAATCCTTGGAAAAGTTATTGTGAAAACAGAGCAATTTTTTCGAACTTTGCACTTAAAAGATTGTTGAAAAGTTACCACAACAAATTACGTATTCGAAATACGCGATGAGTAGCTAGGTTTGATTTGTTAGAAAACAAGAATAATATGTTTTCACTTGTAATATCCGGCGTGGAAGAGAAAACAAACGAAATAAGATATAGAATGTTCAAGTCACGGCAAAAGTAAATTTATCAAAATGAAACAGAGAATCTTATCACGACCAGTGTGAAATGTGAAATTCATCATGAGGCAGGCGGAAAGCAGAATATCATCTCGCAGGATGTCTAAAATTGCCTTATAACATGAAGTGGTCTGCGGCTAGGCGACACGTGGCGAGTGAATTTCATGTAAGACAAAACCATGAACAAGCTCCAGAGGACAAGGCAGTTCGTGAACACATTGCATCCTAAGCGAAATAACGAGAAATATTAGCGCCCAGATTATTTTTACATGATATAACTTATAAAACCACCGTCAACACGTACATTATATTTCGATGAACATAAAGGACAGTCAAATGTGCTGTCGCTATTGTTAAACAGCATGTGCTAAAACTATTAGATATTCTCTTTTTTATAACGACTGGATTGACCCCTTCATATAGGTGTTGTGGTAAGATATCTTTGGCACTTTTAAAATAATTAAAGATGTTGTCATTGCCAACAATGTTTTTTAATTCAAAAGCAGCTTTCGATGGCTTAGCCATCATCATCAGATGTCTGCTAGATGGAAGCCACAAAACGACTACGAAGTACGAAACGATCGAAGTAGTCGTTTTGTGGCTTCCATCTAGCAGACAACTGATGATGATGGCTAAGCCATCGAAAGCTGCTTTTGAATTAAAAAACATTGTTGGCAATGACAACATCTTTAATTATTTTATTGACCCCTTCACACATTTCTAATTTTAACTTAATACAATCCGTCTACTGCAACGAGACATCAACAGCGTCTGCTAAAAATGAATGATCGAATGTTTCCAGATCACAGCCAAATCATAGAGAAAACTGAATTCGTCCACGCTTCTTTGGAATTATTTAGCAGAATCAAGGTGTGTGTAGGTAATGTTTATTTCTCTAATGAACGTATCGCTTTATATTGATTTAAAAAATCATAGAATTCATTATTAGGCCGCCCGAGTGTTCAGAGTTTGGGACAAAAATTAAGTACGGCATTGGGTAGTACAATCCTACGTGCAAATTACTTTTACCACGTATGTCATAAACTAATTTTTGGACAGCCTCAGTTCGTAAGGATACTGCTCCGGCATTTGATATTGATCAGAGAATATTCACCGATCTTACTAGTCGATCAGCAGTGTATGTTAACTCAAGCTATAGTAATGTTACCCTTCCATTCATCAGAGCAGCCGGTCGCTAGAAATCAGCCAGAGGCTGAATTAGACTCTGCTAGCTAATGTCGAGAATCCCCTATCGACTGAACTCGAACCCTAGGACAAGATGCTGGAGTGACAACGGTATATACACGTCAGATTATTTCAACGACCGAACCATTTGAACGATAACAGTAGTTTTAAAGCGAGTGCAAGGCATTTTATGTCATAAAAGCGCTCTGTCACATCTACAATAGGCTGCTGCGCAGGAGTTCGTAGAACCGGCTTGGCGTTGCCGACGAATTCATTGACGCCGCTGTCCGTCGCAGCGCTGCTGATGCTGCCGCCGCCGCCGCCGCGGCCGTACAGCGTCCCTGGCAGAGGCCGCGCTGGCGCGTCCAGTGACGTCACGCGCCGACCTTCGGCGCGCGCGAGACGCCATGACCTCAGGGCGTGCTGCGCACCCTGGCGAAGTGCAGGCAGCGGCCCATTCGCTCCGCAGTGCACGCTTCTCGACGCACGACCCAACGTCCAGGAATGGAAATGATTCGAATTATCAACGGCTGGGTAAAATCCATAATAGTTTTATCTGAATTGATATTGATGTGAACTTTGTTTTCCTTTTGGTATGTTACCCTTTTTTCTCCAATAGTTTCTCATCAGATACAAAAAAATCAAATTCTCCCAAATGAGTTAAAATTAATTTGCACACCACCTAAAGTGCAATTTTGATTTTATAGTTTTTTTAAAAATTTTTTCGTGATATTTTCATATTTCCGGTGCTTCTACCCACTATTTTGGTTTTTTAGCAATTTATAAATGACATACTATAATGCATTTTATTTAATCACTAACTTTGCGTTTTAGAGAATTTTTTATTCAAATACTGTGTGCCCCCCCCCCCAGCTGATGTGCAATATTCGGGAGAAGTTCATCTAGCTCTATCTGATTCGATTCCAGTACGCTGCAGTGAGGAAAGTTCTTCTATTCAATGAATCCTGGAAAGCAAATTTGATCCGGCGTGCAATAATCAACAGAGTCAATAACAATGAATAATGGGTGAACGCGCGCGCGCGCGTGATGGCGACTGGCGCGGCGGCCCGCGCATACGGCACTCCCCCAGCCGCCACCCACCAGCGCCCGGGCTGCCAAGGCCGCAGCGGGGACGCTCGGGCGATCTCCCTCGCGAGAGCGCTCATTAGTCATTTCGCGACGCCCCTGGCAACTTCGGCTCCGTTGCGTCACCAAAACCAATTCCACTAACCATTCACGTGGTACGAAAAACACGTTTTACCCAGTGTACGTTTCATAACAGACAAAAACAGAGGCCAATTGCATAAAGGTCATCTACAACTTACAAATTAAATTACATGTGTCGACTTTCTATGGGATGAGAGAGATCTATCATTTTGGTTTTCCCGTGGCTTCCGTTAGCCCCAATTGTAAGATTTCACCGGCTTGTTGCTATGCTCACGTCTGACCCTTACTTACCAGAGTGTTGCATGGCTCACTGCCCAAGCGTGTTCTCCAAAATGTCTCAAAAAGGAAATAGATGTATGTTCAAATGGAAGAGATTCTCCCCTTCTGCCACTTAACGTCATTAAAATTCGTTTCCTATTTTCGCCGCAGGTGCGCAGTCAGATTGGGGCGATTAAGACGCGAGAGGAGAAAAAACAGAGTCCTTTCTAAGATCGACTTCAGTGGATTCCAATTTAATTGATGGAATCTTTTTCATGTAACTTAAAAGCGTACGTACGTTAAAAAATCGAAATAAAATTTTTCTTATTATCAACTCAAAAACTGTACATTTTCCCTCGAACATCAAAGAAAATATTTTATTTAGACATTTCATCTAGATGAAGAAAATAAGCGAGGACGTTCTTCCCTTCTCTCCCCAGGGAAACCGATCCTGCTATGAAATGTTCAAACTGCACATCTTTGTTAATATATTTCAGTAACTTTCATTTGGATGCATTAAGAAAATGCCATCCACATCATCGCGCGAAACGCAATTTAGTGGTAACTGGAAAGGTCCCACTAGAATAATTCTTAAGTAGGATATCATGAGTTGGCAGAAAACTTACATGTACCGTACCACTTGGCCGAGGAGGTGCGATTTCCTGTTTTTTTAAAACTAGTTCCGTACCTTGTGGAATTATAAACAATTTGCGGTTTGTTTTCACACGGTGCGGCATATGCGTATCATTTCATCCTTTGTGGGTACTTATATTACTATTAATTAAATCATTTGCACATTCGTAATGAGACTTCGCGTGTTCGAAAAGTTCAAGTGTCTCTTCGAATGACCTCAATCCAATATGCATGAAGTGATACTTACCACAAGTCTGGGAAACGTTACTCCGAATTCAGTTCTCTCACAGTGTATAATTCGAGAGGGGTCATAGGCACAATCTAACGAGTTTAGAAAAAAAATTTCATTGTCTCATAGAGCAGCCAAATAATGGGTCCCAGACGTTACCTTGGCATGCGCAAAGTATATTGTTTTGTTACTTTCTCAGGAAATCGCGGGAAAAAATAAAAACATGAAACACTTTCGATTTGCACAGAAACCTATTGAGCCTATTCTCATACTGCGCATTGAATTATCATACTCAATGCATCACTGCTTACAACTTCGCTGACGTCATGCGACAGCAAGGCTCCATAGAAGCGACTATCGCCGTGAAATATTTGTATGTTGTTAAGGAACAGCAACTTTTTTATATTCTTGGTATTGTGTAAAGAACCGTTGACCTCCATGTAAACTAATGTTATTTAAGTGGTCGTGAAGACGTTTCCGTTTTTATTTGTTGCACTCTTATGCGAGAGTATTTGATTTTTGTTCTTGAACAGAGTGCGGGCTACTTTTTGAAAATCAAGTGTGGTTTTGATGAGCAGCATTATTACTGCTTCAGGTCACTAATATACTTGAATTTCAAACAATGGAAATACATACATTTTATGCTATGAAAATTCATCGCATCTAGTGTTCTTAACACATAATATAAAATTATGTATATCATTTTGTCAGAAACAAATAGGTTTCATATACGTCTATTCGTGGGAGATAACTCAGAAACCTAAACCAGGAATAATGATTTAGCTAGACACCAAAATGGGAAAGATCAATTTGTGATGTATAGAATATGCCACTGATCGGAAAACAGGGGTCTACTTTGATAGTGCCTTCATTCAAATCATATCTGCCCTTCTTTACGTTTGGTCTACAGCATACGTGAAACATTATAACCCGATAAAGAGTGTTCAAATGTCAGGATCGTAAAGACGACACTTAACAATTTCATATGTAGACTAAATTTCTCTGTAACTCTGGACTGAAACGACAGGTGCAACTCTAGTATTTCTATTTCATCATTGTTACCAACTATGAGCTCCAAATATGAAGATTTGGATCCGGAAGCAAAATCCCCTCCTGTCTAATAGCCTGCAGCTTACTACAAACATTATTTAAATAGTCGTAATGGCAGTTCATTCAATTCTCCCTTATCAGTAACCATTTATCTAAAACGATCATGCTGCTCAGAGCTCACTTTCTCTATTGTATGGTACGAATTCGTATTCGCCTACTGAGACGTAAGCAGCGTTTACACGATGCGGTACCTCTTTCCGTTCAATTTTGCGAGTGCGTCAAACGCAAGCTATACGATATCGCGTGCGTTTCGGGTACACGTCTTTTGTCGGTAAGAAAGCACGTCTTTTATTTTTCCCCCCAGATCTGAGAAGTAATGTTTCAGGGGAAAGTAATGCTGTAGTCTCTACTATAATACTCTTATGATAAATGAGAATGACTGTTTATTATCGCCCACTATTAGACTTCAAAGAATCAATAATACCCTTTCACAAAGATATATTATTTTTCAATGTATAAACATAGCTTTTACGTAACTCCAAAAGCAATAATGTACTAAGAGGGACAAATACGCTGGCGTTTGAGTAGCGGGTCTGCAAGCAGTGAAGTTCAGGTCCTGTTGATCCGACAACGAAATCTTGAATTGACGAGTGGCCACAAATTGTTATTCAAATTGTTCCTCCTACATATGAAACGGCTGACATCTTGAGTTCCTTCATCTTTTGTTCGCACCGAGTCGGTGACCGCGACAGAGGAGAAAAATAATGGAATGAACGCGTTCGTCAGGCTGCTTCATCGCTTCTCGACTATACAGATGGAGTTGAAAATCCGCTCCATTTCTATCGACGATTTAATGTTCAACGCTTAACTTTATACGCATTTGAGCTAGCATGAACACGTTTTATTGTGCTCTCCTTTAACTTTTAGTCGAAGGAATACGCAGGGGAGGTTTTACTATTTTGTTAGCACTGAAAAAAATCAAATCTCAGTTCGTTTACCATTGCCAATACGTTTCCTATTACTCAGGAGCGAAAACGTCGAATTTTTAAAAGATGCTCATCTCGCATATATATACATATATATATTTCCTTTAATTCTGGTTTATTTTATTTCACATTTTAACGTTTATTAATTTTTCAACTATTTACATTTACAGTAAGGGATTCTGGAGCTCAAGAAAACGTGCACAAAAGGTATAAACATCCCCCCCCCCACGTCTAATACAGTTTTTACTATTCTTTAACTAAATAAAATAATTGGGCACCAGATCATAAGGTAGTATAATTGTATATTTAATATAATTGTACGTTTCATAATTCTAAATATAATAATAAAATGTTAAATTCCATCAAAAGAAGGAGTGTGAAATAGTACTAAGAAAAATAGCTTTCTTCTTAGTACTATTTTCTTCTTGAAAAAGTAGAGGGGAAAATTAGACATAAAAGGTCAGTTTTCCAAATAAGACTGGAAGTACCAACTCACGAAAATATTTAAATGATTCGCATAAAACCAAAACGATCCACACATTATCACTTCCCACAGGTAGAACTTGTACCCCCTCTCACAGAGAAAGATAATAGTCTGATAACACTCGCGAGTTCATTGAGATACGAGAATTATCATGAAATCTTGTATGGTATTCCGACTTGTCACAGCTATACGTGGTCTTAAAAGCGAAGAATTTTTCCTTTTCATTTCACCAAACTATGTTGTTAGCATTTTCGAACTCCTGGCTGAATGCTATAGTTAGTTTCAGGCTTATCTAATTGTAAAAGGCTTGCGAATTAGCACCAAAAATTATTCATTTGCGAAGCCTCTGATAATAAAAACAAAGGGTTTTTAATTTTTTGTCAAAATCTGAGGTAACGTAACTTATCAATATCGTTTTGAAAATTAATTTGTAAACTTTCAGATGATCGGATATCAGAGTAATTGGTGCCCGATCATCTGGAAGGAGAAACTTTTAATTACAATTCCGCGCGTATTATTATTATTATTATTATTATTATTATTATTATTACATCAGAATTTGGAATTATCATTGGGATTCTATGCATTTGGTGCGATTCCAAACTATTAGAGATAATTTATTCAACATTTTACCAGCGGTTTGAAATTTAAATTGCAGTAAAATTAGCTCCCGGATGGAAACGAAATGACGATGAGAATGTTCACTTTTATTACATACCTACTACTCATTGCAAATGTATACATTTCAGACTGTTCAAATTGTGCTTAGAAGGGTTAATCCGCCACATACTGAAATTATATCACTGACCACTGATGTTTCATATTCCGAAATTTTCCCAACAAAAGTCTAGCAATATGTTTAATGTTTCCGAAGAGCCATTTCTCATATATATTCGAGATCAGTTTTCATTATTATTTCTCTGACATTTGAAGATAAAATGCATCTTTAAAACTGTTATTTCGTATAATTATTACATTTACAGAATAACTTTCAGTGTAGACAAACTTCAAAAATTTCTGATGTCGGTGAATAAGCTAAGACATCACTTTTAGACGAAATTGAGAAAAAGTATACAAGTGTGTTCTTCTAATAATGCTTTATACTTGTGTAATATCAGATACGTAAAATTTTTCGAGTTGTCTCATTATTTACACTGTAACAATTATTAACATCACATACCATTAACATCAATTGAGATGTCTTTTTATACACAGTTGAAGATAAGTTCAAATAAAAACAGGATAGTAAAACATGTTGCTCAATGTAAAACTAAATTCTCACTTACATCAGCTTACAGGGTTCAATAATATACTACAATAGTATAAAACAAAATTAATTTAATATTAGAGTTATTTTCGTGACCATTACTAATTGAAAGAAAGATTGGCATTTAACTCCGCACAAAAACCGCTACGCAGAAGCCACAACATTTCGTGGTATATTCTGAAGTTTTCCGTGTCATACCAAATTTCCTGACTGTCGTAGTCCTGAACTATACTGCGGGAGATGGAACTTTGAGAGTGACAGCTACCGTGCACATGGTGCACTGTTGCCAAACGCAGAAGCGCGCACGACACTACGACCTCAGTCATTAGGGAGTGTGTGCCACCTCGAACGTAAAGCACTATCGATCTTCTACGCATGCGCAGATGCACTGAAGTGGTGCGAAACTTGATCTGATCATGCGCAGAAAAT